TTAAAACTACAATTAATTTTTGTATATTGAGATTTAAAAAATTTTTTTTTGCTAAATTCACTAAATAGTCCCATGGATTTTTTTTGGGAGATTCTTTGGAATTTTCCAAACAGGTAATCATGTCATCTGTGAATAAAGACCATTTTATTTCCTTCTTTCCAAGATTGATTGATTGATTACCTATTGCACAGGATAAAATCTTCAGTTTTTCAGTATGATTATGAATAGGAATGATGAGAATGGAAATCCCTGTCTTTTTCCTCATATTAAGGGGAAAGCATTTGATTTATTATTATTAAATATGTTAGATGTAGGTTTTTTGAGATGCTCTTTATCAGATTGAATAAGTTCTCTTCTATTCCCAGTTTAATGAGAATCTAATCCTTTTTTAAAAAGATATTTTTATTGATTTCAGAGAGGAAGGGAGAGGGAGAGATAGAAACATCAATGATGAGAAAAAACCATTGATTGGCTGCCTCCTGCACACCCTCCACTGGGGACCTGCAACCCCGGGCATATGCCCTTGACGGGAATCGAACCCAGGATCCTTCAGTCCACAGGCTGATGCTCTATCCACTGAACAAACCGGCTAGGGCTCCAATCGTTTAAAAAAAAAAACCTCACAAAGTAGACATTATTATTAGTAGGAATTTTAGAAAATTGATTTATTTAAACCTACATACATGTTTACCATTTTGTTTGTTTACCATTCTTCTGTCATCTCAAAGTGTTTCTTTTATTTCTTCCTAAAGTACATCTTTTAGAAGTTCCTTTAGTATGAGCATACGGGTGCTAAATCTTGTAGGTTGTATGTATCTGAAAGTATCTTTATTTCACCTTCACTCCTGCAATATAGAATTAATGAGTGAGTGAGTGCACAGTTCTAGACTGAAATTATTTTCTTTAATCACTTTGAAGATACAATAAAATCTCCTCATTATAAGATTAATTAAGATGAAAAATTTCAATTGTAAAGAGAAAAGTGGGCTTATTTTAAAAAGTAAAGAAATGAGTCATCTGAGTGTGTCTAGCTGATTGGCTAGTAGTTCTAGTGGTCTGACTCTATAATTAAAATCTTTGCTCATCCTGGTTGTGGTTTGGCACCACTTGGTAGTGGCTGTCTGTTTCAAAACAAATGTCATCTGGTGCCAATTCTGGATCCTGTCTCACGGGCTAGAACTTCCAGAACAGTGGAAGCATTTATAGTAATCTAATTAAGCGGGGCCCATTTAACCAGTCTGATCAAAGGAGATAGGGCTGGAAAAATACTGGTAATAAAGGACTCACCCTCTGCCTCCCTGTTTCCTGACATAGTGTGCTTAATTTTTCCTCACCCAGCCTTACCCTTTCCTCCATGTCCTCCACTCAGAAGATAAAAGTGTATCCCATCCAATTTGAAATGAGGGCTAGATAGAAGGCAATCATTAATGATTATTGGTGATTAATTACCAACTAGAGGCCTGGTGCATGAAATTCGTGCACTCGTGGGGGGGGGGTCCCTTAGCCCACCTGCACAGGGGGACATCCTTAGCACTGCCACAGAGGTGAGAGAGGCTCCCACCACTGCCATTGTACTCGCTAGTTGTGAGCCTGGCTCAGTGCTCCCCCTGTGGGAATGCACTGACCACCCAGGGGGCAGATCCTGCATTGAGTGTCTCCCCCCGGTGGTCAGCACACGTCATAGCGACTGGTCGTTCCGTTGTTCAGTCGACTTGTATATTAGCCTTTTATTATATCAGATAATACTGGATCCAAACTTTCATTAATATGGGGCTTAATATCCTGGGATGTCACTCATTATATTACTGTTGTCTGGCTTCCATTGTTGCTATTAAAGCATCTGCTTTTAGTCTGTTTTGTTGTAGGTTGTCTGTTTTTTCTCTCTGGCTGCTTTAAACATTTTTTTTTTTTTTGGTGTTTTGAATTTTATGACAAGTCTCAGAATAGCTTTTTAAATTTATCCTTCTTGGATATTTTGTGCTTCTTGAATCTGTGCGTTCATATCTTTTCTAAATTCTGGAAAATTCTAAGCATTTAACTTTTGAAATATTGCTTCTCATTTCTTAAAATCTCTCCATGAAATCTGATTATTTATATGCCAGATCTTTTAAGTTTAACTTTTATAATTGTTTGACATTTCTTTCATATTTTTTACATTCTTATCATTCTCTGTTTATTTTGGAGAATTTTCTTAGTTTATAGTTTACAAATTATGTGTGCCTAATCTGCCATTCAATCCATGAGTGTTTCCATTTCAACAGACATGTTTTTGGGTTTTTTAAAAATATATTTTTATTGATTTTTTTAGAGAGAGAAGAAGGGAGAGGGCAAGAGAAAGAAACATCGATGTGAGTGTGAGAAGGAATCAATCGGCTGCCTCCTGCATGCCCCCTTCCAGAGAGGCAACTGGGCATGTGCCCTGAATGGAACTGGCAACCTTTCGGTGCACAGGACAATGCCTAACTAACTGAGCCACACCAACCAGGGCTCAACAAATAATATGTTTAATGCCTAAAAGCTTCACTTGTTTATTTGTCACATCTGCTTGCTCATTTCTGATAGTCTCTGTTGCTTGTTCATCTTATGATTCTATCCCTTATTTCTTTAAATATTTTCTAAATAGATATTCTATATTTCACAACTAATAAAATTTTAATGTCTGGTTTTCTTGAAGGTTCTAAATATTTATTATTTCTTCTGATTTCTCATTCATGGTGACTTGCTTCCTTTAGGGCTGGTCATTTTTTATGGTAAACTCACATTTTGTTTATCTCAATCCAGGAATTGGTGGGTCTAATTAGAAATATTTTTGTCAGAAAAAGATTTGTGTTTGATTTGTCTACTACTGATCTAGAACTATAGTGAACTAAGTAGTTTAGAGCAAGGATCTCAGGCTCAGCTCCAACATATTACTGTTGACCTGAGACTTGTTTTATGGGCATTTTCTCAGGTTTGTCCTTTTATTCTTAATTGTCTATTTGAAGAATCAATTTTGTCTATTTGAAGGGGGAAGAGCGCTGGAGTGGGATATGTCAGGACTAGAAGGACATAGAAATTTTCCTTATATGTAATTTTTCTCTCTATATATTATTTCTCTTCTTTTGCTCTCTTTAAGCTTAAATTGCTCTTCTTTCTCTCATTGCCCAAGACAGAAGCTTAGATTGTTGATTTCAGATTTTTCTTATTTTCTAATGTATGCACTTAATACTAAGCACTCTTGTCTAAACAACTGCTTTCACATTTTGGTTATTCTGAACAATGCTGCTATAAACATTTGTGTACAATCTTTTATGTGCAGTATAAGTTTTCATTTTTCTTTTTTTAAATTTATTTTCATTGATTTCAGAGAGGAAGGGTGAGGGGAAGAGAAAGAGAGAGATAGAAACATCAATAATGAGAGATAAATATTGATTGGCTGCCTCCTGCATGCCCCACACTGGGGATCAAGCCCACAACCCGGGCATATGCCCTGACTGGGAATCAAACTGTCACCTCCTGGTTCATAGATTGATGCTCAACCACTGAACCATGCCAGCTGGGCAGTTTTCATTTTTCTTAAGCATATACCGAGGGGTGGTTTGCTGGATCATGTTGTAACTCTTTGTGTAAACTTTCAAGAAATTACCAGACTGTTTTTCACAATAGCTGCACAATATTATATTCCACCAACAGTATATGAAGGTTTTAATTTACCCATATTTTCCCCAACACTTGTTATGATCTGTCTTTTTGCTACTATATAGTCATCTTAGTGGGTGTAAAGTGGTATCTCACTGTGATTTTGATTTCCTTGAAAACTCATGATATTCAGCAACTTTTCATGTGTTTTTGGCTATTTGTAGGACTTCTTTGGAATAATGCCCATTCAGGATCCTTGCCCATTTTTTACTTGGGTTATTTATCTTTTTATTTTTGAGTTTTAGTAGGTCTTTATACATTTTAGACACAAGTCTCTTATCAAATATAAGATCTGCAAATTTTTCCTCCCCTTCTGTGGTCTGTCTTTTCACTTTATTTATGGTATCCTTTGAAACGAAATGTTTTTAATTTTGATGCTGTCCATTCTATTAATTTTTCTTTTGTTGATAGTGTTTTTTGGTGTCATAGTGAATAAATTGTTATCTAATTCAAGGTGGTGAAATTTTACATGTATGTTTTCTTTGAAGAGCTTTATAGTTTTGGCTCTTAAGGTTAGGCCTTTGATCCATTTTGAGTTACTTTTCGTACATGGTGTGAGATAAGGGTCCAACTTCATTCTTTTACAGGTGGACATCCACTTATCCTGGTACCATTTGCTGAAAAGACTATTCTTTCCCCCTTTGAATGGTCTTAGCAGCCTCGCTGAAGATTAGATGACCCTAAATGTGAGTTGATTTCCCCCAAATTGGAATTTTGGACTCTTTACTGTCTTCCAGGCACAGTCCTAAGCACAATTCGTTTACTCCTCATATTAATTGTGAACTGGCACTATTGCTACCCCAGTTTTTACAGATGAAGTACTCGAGATAACAATGCTTTGTCCAAGATTAACTTCGTGGCTACTGAGCAGCACAACCAGGACATCAACGGAGGCCTACTGACTTGAGAGCCTGAGCTCCGGCGCATGCATGGATAACTGTGAGCAATCAGAACTGTCAATTCCACTGAGGAGTCAGCTCATTGAAAACAGGACAGGGGGCGGTCGGATTGGCCACTAACTTGGGAAAAGCACGACAGAGTAGGGGCTGTACTATCTTGCTTCGCACTGAGAATTCGACATGCACCTGCCTTCTTCTTCGGTTGAAACCCTTCCGTGCCAACCTGAGAGTTTATATGTCAACGCAGCACGTTGGCTTCTCAGGTTCCGGGCAGCGTTAGCGTGCGCAGCGCCGAGGGGCACAGAGGTCGAGGGCCCCCCGCCCCGCCCTCGCGGAGTCGGCGCCTTCGGCGTGAGGATGCCCGCGAGGAGGCAACTCTCGCGGGAAGTTACTCTGTTGCCTCGGTAACGGCGTCGCGGCCGCGAAAGATGGCAGGTCGAGGTTGTGGCGTGAGGGTCGGTTCAACCCCAGACTCCTGGGTCGCGAATAGGTTCGGGGCGGGGTAGAGGACCAGAACCTCTTTTAATTCTGGGTCTGAACGTCCCCGTCTCTTTTACAGAGACGGACAGGGACTCCGCTCCCGCCCCGCGTTCAGCAACCTGCTGCGCCGCGCCGGGACCTCCTCGCCAAGGAGGAAGAATATAAGTAAGACATTGGGCGGTTCAGCTCTTCTTTCTTTCGCCTAAAAGTGAGGCTGCTTACACGGGCTTCTACTGGTGACGGGAGCGTTGGGACAGCTCACTGCCCAGCATTCTCTCCCGTCTTTTTAACTTGAGTTCGCCTGCGCCCAACCAAGGTGTTCGAAGTGAGCGAAATTTTAATTTAACCCGAGCCAACATGTTGGTCGGTGAGATGATACTGCTGGACGCGGTTAGGACAGCCGGAATTGCCACGGATAGCTCCGTTTATAGTTTAAGGCATTCCACTCGATTCCAATTCCCTAGAGCAGTGATGGCGAACCTTTTGAGCTCGGCGTGTCAGCATTTTGAAAAACCCTAACTTAACTCTGGTGCCGTGTCACATATAGAAATTTTTTGATATTTGCAACCATAGGAAAACAAAGACTTCTATTTTTGATATTTATTTTATATATTTAAGTGCCATTTAACAAAGAAAAATCAACCAAAAAAATGAGTTCGCGTGTCTCCTCTGACACGCTTGTCATAGGTTCGCCATCACTGCCCTAGAGTTTACGTATGTAAATGTCTTGTAGGCTTGGTTTCTAAATGGAAAGCCTGTTTCTCAGGGCGTTTGGAATTTTCTTGTCCACGTTTGGTGGAGTTGGGAGGAGGATTTCATTTCTTTATCAGCTCAACATAATTGCAAACGATCCTGACAACATGCGCTTTCATTCTCAGACGATTTCACTCTTCATCCCCCAGTTTTCACACAGACGCCGAGAATAATCTTTTAATTTGATCATAATGTTACAGAAAAACCGGAGAAGAACCAAGCAATACTTAGAGAGATGGAGTTACATTTATTACGCGCGGGCCCAGAGGAAAATGTCTCTCAAATTCTGGGTGAAATCATACACGAAGTTTCCCATATTTATACTATTTTACCTTCTTTGTCCCCTAAATATGGGGGTTTTCCGGTTCCCTTTGCAAGTCCTTAAAGGGCCCGATGTGCTGGGGCTTTGAGACCTCAACCAAAGGCTTGGCCTGGCACCAGCACTGATAACTTTGGGGAAGGTTTAATGGCCTCTCTGAAATGGGAGTAGTCTTATTTTCCTTATTATTTAAGCCAACAAGCATTTACAGAAGCCAGAAATAGCAGGGTTAAAATTTCAAACAGCAGTTTTATATAAGATGGATGCTTCAATGTCATTCCCGCCCCTAAAATTTTGCAATGATTCCACGCTGCACTTCGAAAGCTCTGTCAGATCTGACTCCCGCCTCTTTTTTGACCTTGTGCTCTCTCCTTTTTGCCTCCCACACTTCAGCCTAAGGGGCCTCAGCTTTTTCCTGGGGGGCAGTCACACATGCTTTCTACCCATAATGCTAAGAGTGGCCTTCCTTGACTATGCTAAGTAGGCACCCCTGTTCTTCTTTTTTTTTTTCTTTATTGTCTTATTAATGTTTTTTTGCGTTCCCATAAATTCACTTCTGGCAGCGGTTCTCAACCTGTGGGTCGCGACCCCTTTGGCGGTCGAACGACCCTTTCACAGGGGTCGCCTAAGACCATCCTGCATATCAGATATTTACATTACGATTCATAACAGTAGCAACATTACAGTTATGAAGTAGCAACGGAAATAATTTTATGGTTGGGTCACAACATGAGGAACTGTATTTAAAGGGCCAGAAGGTTGAGAACCACTGCGTCTACTGGGTGATGAGTTCCACAAGGTCTGAGACCATGTTTTTAATTACCACTGTATATGCCCTTAACAACAAAAACAAAAAAAATATATTTTAACAATTCACTTTCTCTTTTAAAATAACTAATTTGATTTAAAATTTGGAACACATTTTGACAGTTCTTTAAACAGTTAAGCAGAGTTACCATGTAGTTTGTACAAAGCACATTTAAAGTTAAAACTGACATGTACACTCTGTAGATGAAAGAAACACATACCATTTGCCATATAGCATGTAGGAACATAATCATCCCTCTCGATTTGATGAAATGGGTCTGTTATTCTTGTTTAAGAGTGTACTTAAGCAACTGACCTGTTGTCCATAAACAATTCAGTTATTTTCATCACTCTACACCAGATAGCACTAAATACCATTTGTTTATTTAAGGGTATGTTTTGCACCTGGATCAGGCTGTCATTAGGGATATGGTCCAACTTAAAGGCAGACTGTTTTGTTTTAGCAAAAGTTGTTTTGTGGTAAAGATGCCCAGGTGTAATTAGGTCTGTTACCTGTACAGTGGGACCTTGACTTACAGTTTAATTCGTTCGGAGACCTAGCTCGTTAAGAAGCTCGTTAACTCAAATTACTCTATCAACTCAATGCAAAAAATCTGCCGAGAGACAGCTGGTATCTCAAAAAACTCATTAGTTGGGACACTCGTAAGTCAAGGCCCCACTGTACTCTGCAGTTGCAAATCTGAGATGTTTCAACTTGGTTCCCAAGTTCTGACTAAAGCTTCTAGGTCACTTCTGCACCATGGAGAAAAGTGAACTGTTTGGCCATTTTTTAAAATTTTATTATTGTGGTGAAATTTATACAACATTATATATATGTATTTCAGGTGTCCAACATTATAATTCAATATTTGTATGTACTATGTAGTGATCACTACTATGTTTTAATTACTCCCTCCCTCAACCTCTGCCCCTCTGGTACCTGCCAATCTGTTCCTTGCATCTTTGAGTTTGTTAGTTGGTTTTTGTAGTTGTTGTTTTAGAAGATTCCACATATAAGTGAAATCATATGGTATTTGTTTTGGTCATTTTGTTAGGCAAGAATATGAGTTCATAACACAATATTTTGACCACATGTTGTCTTGCTTTTAAGCATATTGTGATGTCTTTTCAGTTACCTGAACACAGGACTTCCCAGGGATTTCAATACAGAATTGGAGGAAATAATCACTATCTAAGAGGATAGTCTAAGGAACATGCTGATCATTGAAGTCAGTAGATTTTCCAAGCTTCATGTATACATCATAAAACCAGAAAGCTATAGAATAAGATTGTGTGACATCTGTTTCAATTGGTCTTGATAACTGGTAGGACAAGCCTTCACCCCCCACCCCCACCTGCCCAACCCCCTGTCTGTAAATGGCAATTACATTGCATTTATAGATTAATTTGCAGGGAACAGATATCTTTATGCTATTGAATCGTCCCTTCCACAAATGTGGTACACCTCCAGTTATACATGGGTGTTTGAGTGTCCTTTACTATTATTTTATTATATTACTACATAAAAGTCTTTCATATGTAATTTTTTTCAAGGTTCTATATAGTTTTTGTTGCTATAATGAATGGCTTTTTTTTACCTACTACATTTTCTAATTGGTTAGATGTGTAAGAAGACTGATTTTTGTGTGTTGATCCTAACACCAGTGTTTATATAGATAAAGATCATCAGCTCTGCTTAACTTTTTGTTGTTGTTGTGGTATCATGGCTATCACTTATTACAATAAAGGATACAAAGCAAAATCAGCAATAGGAAGAGGTGAATGGAGTGAAGTCAAGAGAAAACCAGGCAAAAGCTTTAGAGTCCTCTCTCTCGGAGCTTTAAAAAAAAAAAAGAATGAATATTGAATTTTGTCAAATGCTTTTTCTGTGTCAGATCATATGGATTCTACCAATCCATGAACATGGTATATTCTTCCATTTGTTAATGTCTTCTTCTATCTCTTTTTTCAAGGTCCTGTAGTTTTCTGAGTACAGATCTTTTACCTCCTTATTTAAATTTATTCCTAGGTATCTTAATGTTTTTCTTGCAATGGTAAATGGTTTTTTTGTTTGTTTGTTTGTCTTTTTATCTTGATTTTTAGGGGCCCCACTTTTAGTAACTTATCACTGTTTGAGGTTTGCTATAGAGTTTTGGTAGGTTTTTTTTTAATCAGGTTAAGGACACTGTTCCCCTTAATTCCTCCTTTGAATGAATGTTAAATCTTATCAAAATTCCACGGCCCCCCCAAATTAATTTAGGTGATGAAATGTGTTTTTTTTTCACCTCCTTGTTTAATGTTTTAACATACTGCACTACAAAGGCAGATTCTTATTTTCTTTTTAAAAACTACTAAATTTGCTTTCATTTTATGTAGGTTTTTTAAAATTTATGAACAAAAGTAAAATTGGCCTTTCAGTTTTTTCCATCATTCTTTTCATTTCTGGTTTTGATACCAGTATTATCCTTGTCACATGAAATAAGCTGAATGGCTTTTCGATATTGTCTTATTCGGTTCTTGGAAGCTTTTTGTTATCAGGGATCATCTGCTCTTTGACTAAAATTGTGAAACAGCCTGGGGTGACCTTTTTTGCTTGTTAATTTAATTTCATTAGTAATTGTTGCTTCTAGAATAGATTTTGGTTATTTTATAGTTTTCTAGAAAAGTGTCCATTTAATATGTTTTAAAATATATTAAGTTTATTCTAATTAGCTCTTATGTTTTAAATCTTGACTGTCTGTAATCCAATACACACCTTTTGGGGACTTACCAATATTGTTTATATATTTTATTGATTTTTTTCAGAGAATTAGCTTTTGGTTTTATTGCTAATTTATGTTTTCTTTAAAATTACATTAGCTTTATCTTTATTATTTTTATCTCTTCTAATTGCGATGGGTTTATTGTTTTGTTTTCTTATTTTTTAAAAATATATTTTTATTGATTTGAGAGAGGCAGGGAGAGGAAGAGCGAGATAGAAACATCAGTGATGAGAGAGAATCACTGATTGGCTGCCTCCTACATACCCCTCACTGGGGATCAAGCCCACAACCCGACATGTGCCCTGTTCAGAATCGAGCCTGGGACCCCTCAGTCTACAGGCTGATGCTCTATCCACTGAGCCAAACCGGCCAGGGTTGTTTTCTTATTTTTTAATAAATACATTTAATTTCTGTAAATTTCTCTCTAACTATAGCTTATCTATTTTGTAGGACCTGTTTTGATATATATTTCTTTTTTTGTCATTTAAAGTTTTAAATATTTTATGATTTTCATATTAATTATTTTAAGAGTGTTTTTTAGTTTCTAAACATATTGGTTTTCTTGTTTTATTTTTATTTTAAAAAATTATTTTAATTAAACTATAGTCATAATGTATATAACATTGATTTTCAAAAATGTATTAAAACTTAGTTGTGATCAAGTACATGTTCATTTTTTAAAAATAATCTTTGATAGAAAGTATATTTACTATTTGTTGACCATCTGTTAGAGCAGACTAATTAATTTTCATGTCCACAATATCAGTATATCACCATTTTTTTCTACTGGCTGTATTGGTTTCTTAGAGATATACTAAAATCAACTATAACTATAATTGAAAAATAATCTATAATAATATAAGCGTAATATGCTAATTAGACCCGATGTCATTCCGGACATCATTCCGGACGTCCTTCTGGACAAAGCCAGGGCCAGATGGAAGGCCGGGTCCTGGGTGCCAGAAGGAAGCTGGTGCTGGCAGTCGGGGGAAGGAAGGCCTATTCTTGCATAAATTTTGTGAATTGGGCCTCTAGTCCTATATAATAAAAGGGTAATATGCAAATCGACCAAATGGCAGAACAGTTAGTCACCATGATGCACACTGACCACCAAGGGGCAGATGCTCAATGCTGGAGCTGCCCTCTGGAGGTCAGTGCGCTCTCACAGGGGGAGCGCCGCTCAGTCACAAGCCGGGCTCACCACTGGCAAGCGCAGTGGCCCGCCTCCGCAGCAGCACTAAGGATGTCCAAGGATGTCCAACTGTGGCTAAGCAGTCAGTTGGACATCCCCTGAGGGCTCTGGAACTGCAAAAGGGTGCAGGCCGGGCTGAGGGACCCCCCCAGAGTGCACAAATGTTGTGCACCAGGCCTCTAGTTATTCATATAATTGTGTCCATTTTTATTTGGGGGATATATTATTTAAATCCTCTAGATCAGTGGTTCTCAACCTTCTGGCCCTTTAAATACAGTTCCTCATGTTGTGACCCAACCATAAAATTATTTTCGTTGCTACTTCATAACTGTAATGTTGCTACTGTTATGAATTGTAATGTAAATATCTGATATGCAGGATGGTCTTAGGCGACCCCTGTGAAAGGGTCTTTCGACCGCCAAAGGGGTCACGACCCACAGGTGGAGAACCGCTGCTCTAGATGAATTATTCCTTTCATTAGTATGTCATCTCTGTCATATCTTTTTTCATTTATATTCAAACTTTTTATGTCATTTAGCTTTAAGAGTATTCCTTTTATATCGTGTCTGATAATTTCTGCCTTCTAATAAGTGAATTTATTTATATTATTTTGCTTGTTAATTTGAAGTTGTTTTGGCTATCTTATTTTGTGTTTTGTATTTACTATGCCTTTCCTTTAGTTCTTATGACTTCTGTTGGATTGAATGAGTTTATATTGTCTTCACTTTTACTGGTGTGGAAATACTGCTTTAACTTGTTTTTTTTTTTCCTGCCTGTGAAGTTAAATATTGGATTATACTTTCCTTCCTCTTTGTTTGAACACCCCTCTTTGTTATTTTTATAGTCTGTACTAATTTAGATTTATCATTATGTTTTCTAATTTCTTATAATTCTTTTTTTTCCAAGTTCAGTTTTCTTCTTCCTGAAGTGTAGACCCTTCATTACTTATTTCTGTGAAAATTTGAGTCTTAAATTCTCCATTCTTTCTGAAAAATTTCTTCCTTTGCACTTATTGTTCAAAGACAGTTTAGCTGAACATAGAATTCTAGATGGTCTATTTTTTCCACTCCACAGTTTAAAGAATATTCTCTTGGTCTTTGAAGTTCTGCAGTGTCACTATGATATATAAGGTGTGGATTTGTTTTCTTAGTTCTGCTTGAGATTCATATCTTTCTTTATTTCTGGAAAATTCTCAGCATTATCTCTTTAAATATTGACATTCCCTCCTTATCTGGGATTTCCTTCTGCACCTTTTATTAGGTAGATAAAAATCTGTCTTTGTCATGCAGTCTATTTTTAGTGGATGTTAATCTCTCTTTTGTATTGTTATCTTTCTGTTTCTGTGTACCTCCTTGTAAGTGATTTTCTCTTATTTGTCTGGTAGTTCATTCATTCCTTCTTCAGTGCATTCTGTTGTCCAACTTATCCATTGAGTTTGAGTTTTTAATTTCAATGACTGTGTTTTGATTTTTGTAATTTCTGTTTTGTTCTTTTCCATATTTAGTGTTCTTTTGTAATGTTTGGTTCTTGCCTGATGGGTTCTATTCTTGCTTTTTTTTTAAATGAAAAATGTTTATTTAATTGTTTTATTATCTTCAGTTCTTATACATTTTTTTTTATATCTGCTGATTATCCCTCTCGGTGACTTGGTTCTTTAGGCAATTTTGTTATCTTTGTGAAGTCATCTTTAGCAGGGTTTACTTTCTGAGAGAGTTCTATATATTGTCAATGAGTAAATGTCCCTAAAGATGGTTTTGCATTTAGCTTAGAGTTTTGACTGGTTCTAGGCCAACTTTCTATATTAAAGTTTTGGCATAGAGCCTCTATATACCATCTTGGTAAGAAAAACTTGGACCACATTTCTGTATGCTCTTTCTACTCACAAGAGATTCTTTTTCACCAATGGCTATAGTTTCATTTCTGTTCACCTAAAATTATGGGTAGTGTTTTTGTTTGTGTTTAATAAGTGTAGCTCTCCATGACTCCCACACGTGCATCATTTTTTAGCTGTTAAGCTATTTTGTCTTCTGTTCCTGTTAATTGTTCTCACTTTTAGTTGCTGCTTTATTTTTGGTGCCAGGTTATTTTCCTTGCCTGAGTTTGAGCTTAGCAATATAGCCTTTTTTACATTACATCTATTGAGCTTAGCAGTATAGCCTTCATTACATTATTTCTGTGGGTTTGAGCAGAATAAAAGCCTTCTGAATCATTTTGGTCTACTACATTTCCCAGAGGCTTCTAATGGTTCTTGTTAGGGAAATATGAAAACTCAGATAATGCCATCTTAAATGGAACTTTAAGCTTTTATTAGTTATTTTTCTTTTGATTAATTCATCCTAAGATGTAAAAATATTTTCTGAAACATTGGACTATTTTAAGAAGAGATATGTTACTGCTTTTTTTTTTTTTCAGGGGTGGGTGGTTGGTGTTGTAAGTGGTTTGTTTACTTCAGAATCACATATTGGGGGAAAAACAGCAAAGTATCTAATTTTTAAAAATTGCTCAACATATTTTCTTCATATAACTGCAAAAGATCCTAAATATTCCAGAAATTTTTAAATTCTATTTTAGTCTATGAATAGAATTTAAAAAGTTACATGCTTTTGAATATGTTTATTATAGTGTTACATTTATGTATGTATGTATGTATGTATGTATGTGTTAATTCTCACCTGAAGATATTTTTCCCGTTAATTTTTTTGAGAGTGGAGGGGAGAGACAGAGAGAGAAACATGGATGTGAGAGAGACAAATTGGATTGGTTGCCTCCAGCATGCTCCCTGTCTGAGGGGGTGGGGATGAGATCAAGCCTGCAACCTAGGCTCTATCCATTGAGCCAAACAAGCTAGGGCTATATTGTTACCTTTAAAAGTGAAAAAAAAGGGAGGGGGGGGACTTGAACTAACAATAGAAATAGATTGATACATACGTTATGTTAACTTCAACTTATTAAAGTATTTCATATCCATTTAAGGCACTAATTATAAAGAGATAAACATATTCCTTCTGTTTGTTATGGGAAAACATAGTGCAAAATTGTGTGTATGCTATAGATGAAAAATAAAAAAGAATAGAATAAAAATGTCACAGCAACACCGAGGCCAAAGCAGGCTTCTCTCCCACCCTGCCCCACCCCGTCCCCAGTTGGAGTTCATCCCAAGATGATGAAGAGTGGCATTGAGTTGAACCCACCAGTTGATTCTTCCCAAATAAGCCATTACACCTGAAATGAGGGCCAGAGAGAAGACAAGAGTTACACTGTTTGAATTTCTACCACAAAAAAGGAGGAATCATGGGCAGTTGGAGATGAGTATTCTAGTCATTTTGTTAATTTTAGAATAAAAAGTCATTTGTTTTGGAATTTGTTGATTAGCTAAAGCAGTGATGGCGACACGTGAACTCATTTTTTTGGTTGACTTTTCTTTGTTAAATGGCATTTAAATATGTAAAATAAATATCAAAAATATAAGTCTTTGTTTTACTATGGTTGCAAAGATCAAAAAATTTCTATATGTGACACGGCACTAGAGTTAAGTTAGTGTTTTTCAAAATGCTGGCACGCCGAGCTCAAAAGGTTCGCCATCACTGAGCTAAAGTATAGTTACTGAAATTTAATTACTTTTATTTTTGTTAGAATCTTCAGTATATTCCAATTAGTAAATTATTTTCTGCTTTTAGGCGTTTAAATGCAGAATTGGAGGCAAAAACAGCTGATCTCGTTCGACAAGCTGAGGAAGCAATAGTAAGTAAATGTTAGTAGTAATTCCATGTAAGTGTGCTAGTTTTTTTTTTAACTTTTTAAATTTGATTTATAACATGCATACAAAAAAGTACCCAAAGCATAAATTTTAAGCTCAATGAATTATTAAAAATTGAACATGAATATATGTGTAGGTAGGTAGGTGTGTGTATATATGCTTGCATGCGATTTTTATAAGCATATATTTTCTAACAGCCACAAAGTGTTTTCCATTTAGATGTCCAATCATAAGAACATTAATATTTAATAAATTTTCCCACTATTTTAAGATTAATATTTGAGAATAGCTATGTAGAATTAACACTGGTTATTCTGTAAGGAAGGAAATAACATTGTCTCTGGGCAAAAGCTGGATAAAGGATAACAATTATTAGATGGTAATTTACTTCTTATTCAGATGGTAATTTGTTTTTTAAATTCCTCAGATGCCTATTACTTACATTCTTAGGGCTAGACCATATCAGATTTATAGTTAGGAAAAATGTAATGAGGTTATAACACTAGACAATGTAAGCATATTTTACCCCATTCTGGGTACCAATTGGTTATTCCTGCTTTAAGCATCCATCCTTATACATCAGTATTCCCATTATGAAATGATAGTATATAGTAGCATTCCTTAGAGCAGTGGTTCTCAACTTTCCTAATGCCGCGACCCTTTAATTCAGTTCCTCATGTTGTGGTGACCCCCAATTTCATTGTTACAAATTGAACATAATTAAAGCATAGTGATTAATCAGAAAAACAATATGTAATTATATATGTGTTTTCCGATGGTCTTAGGCGACCCCTGTGAAAGGGTCGTTCGACCCCCAAAGGGGTCGCGACCCACAGGTTGAGAACCGCTGCCTTAGAGAAATAAAGTGGCTGCTTTAATTTTTTTTTTTTTTTTAGTTCTTACCCTAATTTATTTATAATTCTTTCTTTTAAACCCTACCCTCCACCCCACTTTGGAGTTGATGGGTGCAGGAAAGAAAAGGTGATATTTTATTTTAAGGCCTTATACATATCCATCATTATTTGTTAGAGTAGAATAAGAAACTTATTGTTATATATATATATATATATATAACATTTCAGGTAATATATTTTTATAATGGATGCAGATTTGCTAGTTGCATTTGTAACTAAAAATTTATTTAAAAAGAAATATTTTTATTACATCTTTTAGTTTTGCCAGTGTCTGAAGAGCCAGAAAATGCTTGAAAAAGAAATCCAAAGTTATGGTAGAATGAGGGATTCATTATGTATTCTGCTCCAAGAGCCCTCTAATAAGGACCTTGTAATTTATTTATTTAAAAAAAAAGAGTAGAGTAGAAAACTGGGAAGGGGTGGGGAAGAGGAGAGGGCATTCCTGCCCCCACAGAAACTGATAGATATAATTATTGTCACATTGAATGTTTGTTTGCTCCCTTTTATTTCTTGATATATCTTTGCCAAAAGATTTTACTCTTAGTGCTTCTTTTTTAGCCTTTTCATGGTATTCTTAACATTGAAGTTCTGTGTTATTTGCGACAAATTTTTCTACCCATCTAATGGATTTATGTTTTCATTTCTTGTGAGTATAATTTCCTTTGCATATTACACAGAACGGAAGATTCTAATGTAGGGTGGAAGCAGGAGTCGGATAAGATCATATAAAGACATTGACATGCCAACATTTTTCCCTTAGAATTGACTTTCTTAACCTAGAATGGATGAAAGGTGCAACTACATTGTAACAGACCTTATTTTCATACCATGTTGTTTAGAATTCTGTGCCTCAATTTTGTGGAAGCTGTGGACAATCTGAAATGGTTAATAATAAAAAAGGCACTTGAATAAATCCTATTTTTGTTCATTTTTTTCCTATGTGACTTATCTTTATTCATTTAACTAGAGAGATCAGCAAGAAGTACGATCTCAGCCTATTTCAGCACAAATTAAATCATATGAAGATGATGATGATTACAGTTTAAGGTAAGTAACTTAAATTCTTAAACACCTTTTTTAAAACTGGGTAAATGCTTTAAGGTTTTTTTTATTTTTAAGATCTAATCAACATATAACATTATATTAGTTTCAGGTATACAGCAATTTGTTATTTATATATTGTGAAATAGTCATCATAATGAGTCTAGTTAACAACAATCATATACCTGGCTACAGAATTTTTTGTTATAATGAGAACTTTGAAGATCTACTTTCTTAGCAACTTTCAAATATGCAGTACAATATTATTAACTATAGTCATTATGCTGTTCATTACATTCCCATGACTTATTTATTTTATAACTGAAATTTTGTACGTTTTGATTCCCTTCACCTATTCCCCCCCTCTCCTCCCCCTCCACCAAGTCCTCAGCCTCTGGCAACTACCAGTCTTTTCTCTGTATCTATTGTTATGGGTTCACTCAGTGAGATAGACCACTGACTCAGAATTCAAATTTAAGAGCCTTTATTAAGCTGGCCAGCTGACTAGAGTTACAGCACCCTGCCGGAGTGCTGGGGTCCAACTCCAGCAGGTCCAGGGGTCCCCAAAGGTGTGGACAGAGTCGGCGATGAAGGAATGACACGGAGACAGCCTTCAGTTGATCAGCAGCCTAGCCAGGATCTCTAGCCAGGATCTCCAGCCAAGTTCAGGTCAGGATCTCCAGCAAAGTTCTGGTCAGGATCTCCAGCAAAGTTCTGGTTAGGATCTCCAGCGAAGTTCTGGTTAGGATCTCCAGAGAAGTTCTGGTCAGGATCTCCAGAGAAGTTCTGGCTAGGTTCCCCAGCCAGGTTCGGTCGCCAGGTTCTTTAGCCAGGTTCTTCAGCCAGGTTCAATCCAGGTCCTCCCGCCATGTTCTGTCTAGGTTCTCCAGCCAAGTTCTGTAGCCAGGTTCTGTCCAGGATCTTTTGCCATGTTCTCTCCCTAGGTTCTGTCTCTAGGTTCTTCAGCCAGGTTCTCTCGCTAGGTTCTGTCTCTAGGTTCTCCAGCCAAGTTCTGTAGCCAGGTTCTGTCCAGGATCTTTTGCCATGTTCTCTCGCTAGGTTCTGTCTCTAGGTTCTGTGTCTAGGTTCTGTCTCTAGGTTCTGTGTTCTGTTGTCTTGTTACATCTGTATTTATACCAGTTGATTTTAATCCTATCAATTTCTATTCCAAAGGTTAGGGCATTTCTTATCTCCATTCCAGGGAGTAAAGATTATGTAGCTTAAGCTTGATTGTTCATAGTTACAGTGATTAACTACCCGCCTGGCACTTAGTTAAGGGGTTTTATCCCCTCCCTAACTTCAGGGGAAAATCCCTACCTGGAGAAACAACTTTTCTCGGAGAGGTGACCTTGGTTAAAACACATAGCGCCAAGAAGGGGAGCAAACATATTAAGAACAGTATGCCATATACGCCAGGTCCCTTGAAACATATGCTGTGCAGATGTTTCTTCCCTGCAGCGACTGTGTCAAGCAGCAAGGATGGACCGGCTCCCAGCACCGGAGCAGAGGCTGAACTGCAGCCCAGACTACAGGAATTACAGCATTTTTATTATTAAATTTTGTGGAGGCCCAGAGAAAAATATGTCTTTCAAATTCTGGGCCCCCAATATGGAGGAAACTCTCTTTATTTATACTTTTTCCAGTCTTTTGTCTCCCAAATTTGGAATGAGACTTCCGGGCCTTCTGAGAAAGAAGGCCTGCATGCTGGGAAGGGGCCATGAGACCATATCTCAAGGCCTGGCCTGATGTCAGTACCTTCCTATCTATGTGTTTTAGGAACAGGCAGCACAGCACGCCCCTTCTGGCCGAAGTGCCAGATATGCAGCCCAGTACACTAGGAGTTGTTTTTTTGTTTTGTTTTTTTTGATTCCACATACAAATGAGATCATATGATATTTGTCTTTTTATGTCTAACTTATTCAATTAGTGTAATGACCTCAAGGTCCATCCATGGGTCTTCTTAATGGAATAATAATATTCCATTGTATTTGTATACCACAAATACAAATGGACATTCAGGTTGTTTCCACATCTGGACTATCGTAAATAATGTTGCAGTGAACATGGGGTGCATACATGTTTTTGGGTGTGTTTTTGTTTTCTTCAGATAAATACCCAGAAGTGGAATTGCTGGGTCATAAGGTAGTTCTGTTTTCAATTTTTTTTGAGGAACCTCCATGCTATTTCCATAGTGGCTACACCAGTTTGCTTTCCAACCAACAGTGCACAAGGTTCCCTTTTCTCCACATCCTCACCAGCATTTATAATAGCCGTTCTAACAAGTGTGAAGTGCTATGTGGTTTTGATTTTCATTTCCTTTATGATTAGTCATGTGGAGCATCTTTTCATGTACCTGTTGGCCATCTGTATGTCTTCTTTGGAAAATGTTTGTTCAGATCCTCTGCCCTTTTTTAGTTGAACTATATTGCTTTGATTATCCTTATTTTGAGAATATGCTGTTTTGGACCTCAAAAATTGAGATAAAATTTAGAAAATCTTTGAGGAACAAAAGCCTATTAAAGCTCAACCTTGAGGTATAGATTAGACTAAAGGTGTGGTTTTCACAACTATGGGTAATATTTTCCAATGGTTTTTCAGGGCAAAGATCATATTAAATGGCACCTAGTGAAACTTTCCAATTGGATAAAATAACTCAGGGCAAAGATCTAACTATAGGTATAGTCTCCCCATAGAAGCCTGACAAACTCAAAACAACCCATTTTTAAATAGGAGTGGGGAGAAGGAGAAAGAGGGAGAGGTGGAGGAGGTGTTCAGGGTAAAGAAATACAGTCTTGGAAAGCATTATGGGTGTGCTAAAGGCACATGAAACCGACTGGAATCAAGTAAGAAATTCACTAGTTTTTGAGAGTTATACCAGCAAAGAAACTCTGAGTGATGGACCTAAACTATTAGTTTAAATCTTTTTTTTTTTTTTTTTAAATATTTTATTGATTTTTTACAGAGAGGAAGGGAGAGAGATAGAGAGTTAGAAACATCGATGAGAGAGAAACATCCATCAGCTGCCTCCTGCACATCTCCCACTGGGGACGTGCCCGCAACCCAGGTACATGCCCTTGACCGGAATCGAACCTGGGACCTTTCGGTCCGCAGGCCGACGCTCTATCCACTGAGCCAAACCGGTTTCGGCTATTAGTTTAAATCTTAAAATAGCTATCTGTCCTCGCATTCTTGTAAGATGAAGAAGCAGACTGTGAGAGTTGCACAGCCCTAATTTAGGGCATAGTACAGTGATGGCGAACCTATGACAAGCGTGTCAGAGGTGACACGCGAACTCATTTTTTTGGTTGACTTTTCTTTGTTAAATGGCATTTAAATATATAAAATAAATATCAAAAATATAAGTCTTTGTTTTACTATGGTTGCAAATATCAAAAAATTTCTATATGTGACACGACACCAGAGTTAAGTTAAGGTTTTTCAAAATGCTGACACGCCAAGCTCAAAAGGTTCGCCATCACTGGCATAGTATTTAAACACCTTAGAGAACTTAGAAACAAAAGAGAAATGTATTTAAGCGGCAGTATGTTTGGCTGTACTTGAACTATTGGGACATTATTCAGGTACTCAAAAATAATTATTGCGCCCTAACCGGTTTGGCTCAGTGGATAGAGCGTCAGCCTGCAGACTGAAAGGTCCCAGGTTCAATTCCGGTCAAGGGCATGTACCTGGGTTTCAGGCACATCCCCAGTAGGAGGTGTGCAGGAGGCAGCTGATAGATGTTTCTCTCTCATCGATGTTTCTAACTCTCTATCCCTCTCCCTTCCTCTCTGTAAAAAATCAATAAAATATATTTTTAAAAAAATAATTATTATTGCATATGACCCAGCAATTCCGCTCTAGATATTTAACCAAAAGAACTGAAGACATGTTTGCAATCAAAAACTTATGCAAATGTTTATAGCAGTTTTATTCATAATTACCAAAACCTGGGAACAATTCAATATCCTCAAGTGGTGAATGGATAAACAAATCATGGTATATCCATGCAATGGAATACTACTTGGCAATAATAATGAACTACTGATACTGCAGCAATATAGATGCTAAGTGGAAGAAGCCTAACCAAAAAATGTATAGACTGTATGATTCCATTTATTTGATGTTCTGGAAAAGGTAAAGCTATAGGGGCAGAAATCAGGTAAGTAGTTATATGGGGCTCGGTGGAAGGAGAAGGTTAATTACAAAGGGGCACAAGAAAATTTTTTGTGGAGATGGAAGTATTTTGTATCTTGGTTGTTGTATGCTTACATGACCATAGAAGTTTCTTCAAATGTATAGAACTATATGCCTAAAAGGGTGTATTTTACTATATGTAAATTATATCTCAATAAATTTGAAAAAAAGTTTTGAACACCATTAGTGCCAGGTCTAATTACAGTGGTACAGTGGTGAATACACAGACCAGGTTCTGCTTCCAAGGAGTTATGCCTAGTGTGTTGCTTTTAAAAATATTTTTTAATTAAACAAATTTTCCATAAAATTTTTTACATCATCATTTGATGCAATGAAACTACTTATCCTTATTACATGTAATGCTTTGATAATTTGTGGAAAATGATGTTTAATAGTAATCAAAATTCCAAACAAGATTGGGCATGGCTTTTATTTGGTAAACTGGTTTCTGTTGAAGCAAGTGAGAGAATTTCATAAGCATAAAAATAAATCTGTTCATTTTCTTTCACTAAATTTTTCTTAAGTGTAGAATAATGATGACACCACTATTTACCTAGATCAGGTGGCTTTTTAAAAAATTACTTTGAATGGATGGCTTTTACCACATGAACAAAACATGGCACTAAACTATTAGTAGGGAATTGCTGAATATGGGAGATAATTAATTCTGTAAAGAGACAGTCTATTTCAACTTAGAACAATAATAATTTAGCTAAATTATTATAGTTAGGCAGTATATCCTATATAATAAAAACATAATATGCAAATCGACCGAACAGCCAAATAGCAGGATGACCATCTGGGACCACGCT